TCAGTAAAGATGATGGATGGATGGATGGATGGATGGATGGATGGATGGATGGATGGATGGATGGATGGATGGATGAAATTAATCCAGTCTTTTCTTTTGTCTTTAAGTGTAAAAATATAAATAAATGTAACAATCATCAGATGTTTTTAGTTTTATAATTTCACGCCTACTGGCCAGAAAAGCCCCCTCTAACAAACTTAAAGTGGCCCACGAGCCACCAGTTGATAATAACAATTGTAGCAGGTTGTTTTGCACATTTAATTTAGTGAGAACACTAAACATTTGTTTGTTCACATGTCCTCAGCTGCTCCTAAACTGCCGAGGTCTGAAATCTCTGATTTATGAGTGAAGGGACCAATCTGCTTGCTGACCCTTCAAATGCACCTTGGTCAATCTCTGGATCTGCTTGGAGGTATTTCACTCATATGAAACACACACAGAGAGAAGGGGCAGAAATGATTCTTTTGATCCTAAAGGTTGCAGACTCCTGCCTTATGGTAACAATCGACAGCCCCTGCAAACATTTTTCTGACCTGAGCTTCTTTGTGTTTCTCTAAGCTCTGGCCTGTCGTGTCCTCCTGAGGAAACTTCTGGTTCTGTGTCTCTGTGAAACCCCAGCCTGGAACCATGTGTCAAACTCAAACAGTATTAGATCAGTCAAGGTTCTGTCTGACACTCTACATCTAGACACGACAAATCTCCACCCTCCTCTCCATGCAGCTGCTCCTGAGATTGGAAGGAAACTAGAGTTGATTCCTTCATTTACATCAGATCTTTATCTGCAGGTTTACTTACCCATGTGCCCTCACAACACACACACACACACACACACACACATACGCACAGATTCATCCTGAGTTTGTCACTGTAAATAAATTTCATTTACCTTTTTACCCACATGTTTTCCTGTTTGTCTATTCTGGATGTTAACATTGTTAAATCCTGATCAACGGTAAAAAGTTTGCTTTTTGTATTAGTGATCAGCACCAAACTCTAAGAAGTTGTGTTTATCTTTCATGTTCATTCATTCATTCAACCTTTATTTACAGGTTAATCCCATTGAGCCTCGAGGACTCATTTACAAGAGAGACCTGATTTCAACAAAGAATGATGAAAAACAATGGACAACATGGACAACAATAGACAGTTATTAAAAGGCACAAAGGCATTCAGATTTATTTTATTTTATTTTTTACAAATAAGATGGCAAAAAAAAGTAAAAATAGTTAGATTATTAGGCAAATGTAGAAAACTAAAAACAGGAACATGTCTGCATTGGTCCTTGCCTGGAGTCCAACTGCAAATGTCGGCAAAATATCTAAAAAATCACTACTTTTAATAAATCTCTCAAAGTGATAATTGTACATCTGATAACTTATGGAGTCTCCTATTGAAGACGGCCTCCACAGTGAACAGTAGTCACAAAATGAATTCAGTCAGACTTACAGACATTGAGTTAAGTTGAAGTGTGGTAGTAGCTGAGAGTCATTCATGTCAGGAGCTCTGAGCACTAACACATCTTGCACATGTGCAAGAAATTACTCCTGATGTCATGTCACAGAAAAAAAAAACTGATTCACAATGAAATCCTTCATTTGACAGTCACTTTCACGTTTCTGAGCTGTCTCTACCTTATTGAGTCAGTAAGTTGTTTAAATCATTCCACAGAATGAGAGAAACTGTTATGTGGAGGGTGATAAATAAATCTGCCAACCCACGTAGATTGTCACAGATGGACCATTATCACTCTTGACATAATGTTCTGTTTAACAATTACGGAGCCAAATAAGGAATTATGAAGTGTACAGCTAAATATTGTACAACACATAAACAATGCAATGTATCAGGAAGATTAATAAATAATATATTTCCATCCCAGTCATTTACAAGATTCTATCAAACTCTGTCCCCTCTCATCATAAAATGATCTTAAATTAAATTTATGGCATGAAAGGTGGCGGGTGATGTGCTTTCCTTTAAGAAATTAAGTTTTGTTTGTAAAATCTAAATAATTATAAGAATCAACAGATTTTATGCTAATGAATAAATCTGGACTGGCCTCAACAACATGTCCTCTTTGCCACAGACCTGACTGAAAGATGCCCGCCTCTCCTCGGAGCTGTCGTTCTGTTTCACAGCAGTGTAGTGTTGCAGGTGTGCCTGTAAGTGTGAAATCTTGGTGTGGGTGCATTAAAAGGAAACTGTGAGCTCAGTTCTCAGCAATCCTTTTCGATGTTTTATCAAATCTAACTGTGAAATTTCTCAGGGGGTTTCCCGCGGTGATCAGAACTGTGTTTACGAGTCACGGCTGGTGACAGAGTCCCCCTCTGTGCTGACGCTGAGGCTGCAGTCCGAGTCCAGGTCTTTGATGTAAGGAGTGAGGCGAGCTGTTTGGGTGTTTGGTCGAGAGCTGAGACAGACGGGGGCAGAGTGTGATGGAGTGATTACTCTCCTTGCTGCTCTCCTGTCTGCCCTGGCATGAATGCCCCTCTTCATCCACCCTAAAAGGCACATTATTGGCCCGAGGAGAGTGGGATATCCTGGCCGCTGACCCCAGAGTAGGGGTCAAGGGGAACAGGGGGGCAGATGAAAGGGAGCATAATTATGGACAAAAGACAAAAAGAAACCTTGTCTCCAAACAACTATTTTGGTGGGAAGGGGGTTTGGATGGAGGGGAGGGGGGTACAATTGAGATCAAGCATTTTCCCTGGCAAGTTAAGCCTTATCGTGTCGTCTGCCCCATCATGTGAAGCTCCGGACCAGCTCTCATTGGCAGGGTTGTAGTTCTTATCTGATGATGATTGGCTGAGGCCCGCAGGCTCAGGAAGTGACAGCATGGTTCCCACAGACCCACCCCTGAGAAAAAACTCAGATCTACTCAGCAAGCACTGATTTGTATGTGTGCGGATATGTGTACAGTATTCATCTGTACATGCTGGTGTTTACGTTTATTGTCAAACCACGTTTACCCTTTAAATGAATATCTTTTTTGCATTTTTTTATATACATTCTTTTTTTGTTTAACAGTGCAGTCCTGAGCAAAAATATTAAAGGGGTGGACATAATTGAAAAGTTGTTCAAATACATATTCTGGGGAAGATGAAGAAAACAGATTTATGTTGTTTAATATTTAATTTATTCTTGCTGAGGGTTTTGTGTGTGTGTGTGTGTGTGTGTGTGTGTGTGTGTGTGTGTGTGTGT